GGAATGGAGGAAAGATGATGACGAAGGGAAGGTGGTTCTTATCCATCAACCTGGCTCTTCTTCCTGTGGGCTTCTTGCTAGTTTCCTCTGTAGCTTCCAGGGGCAGTTCTAAGACAAAATGAAAGGCAGAGAGCAAGAAGGAGCAGAGAATAAAAGGAGAGGGTAGGGTTCAACTCTCCATCAAATAATTCAACTGGGGATTCTCAATGTTCATGCAGTTTCAGAGTGTTTTTTTCTACAAATACTGCTAAGTTAGGTTATGAAGCCCCCCTCACAGATAAAAGAACTGAAATCCAACTAGGTGAGGTCACTTTCCCAGGATCACCAGGAGAGGTGGACATGGGAGCTGGACCTCCTGACTCCCTGTGCAGCCTCTCACTGCATCATCTTGGTTGCTCTGGCTCAGGCACCTGAGTCACCCCTGAGGATTCTACCCTCATAGCCACCAGAGTCCATTTCCTCCTTTCCTTCCCCACTGCCATTCGTCACCCAGGGCCAGGGCGTCATGACCTCTCACCTAGGCAACAACCTCCCATCTGGTCTTTAGCCAGGTCACCTTCACACTGACCTATCCCAACCAGCACTGAGATTAATTTCACCAATGCACAGCTCTCAGGGAAATGTCCCTGTGAGACACTCTCAACGACTTCCTGTTGCCTAATTTATTAAGTGGTAAAAACTCTTCAGCCCAGTATTCATGGGCTGCCAATGTGCCAGAAGCATGCTCTGCACTCCAGCCCAAAGCACCACACGCTCCGAGCGTTCTCGGCACTCCTGTCTGCTTCTGTGCCTTCTCTTGGAAGCCCCACCTACACCCCACTGCCCATAAAACGACATGCCCATTGGTGTTCCTCAGTGGATCAGTGCAAATGCCACCCCACCCATGAAGCCCTCCTGATTCCTCCAACTCTGGAATTCTCTGTATTATTATTATTATTTTTTGGCCGTGCCGCACGGAATGGGGATCTTAGTTTCCTGACCAGGGATCAAACTCGCGCCCAGTGGAAGCGCAGAGTCTTAACCACTGGACCACAAGGGAAGTCCCTGAAGTTTTTATCACATTTTGTTTTGTACTGTGGTTCTGTATATGCGTGTCTTATCTCTACTATTTATTAGACTGAGCTCCTTGAGGACAATAGCCTGTATCTTGTTAGTCTTTCAAGACACATGATAAACACTCAACAACTATTTTTTGAAAGAATGAATTCCTCTTAAAAGGACAGGCTTGGCTATAGTGTATAGTATTAGTTTAAGTGCTTTTCCTTAGGTTGCAAGGTCTTTTACAGTAGAAACTTCATCTTTCTTAGAAAATAGCTCTCTTATTTTGCTCAGACCTCCATAGCCCATGTAACAATAAACACAGTTAACTGTCTAGGCTAGGTGAACTGAATTAACTCAGTAAAACAATGTCACCAATTCCCTTCTTCACTGTAGTTGCTAAACAGACATTGAAAGGAATAACAAAATTCTCCAAAGATCCCTGAAATGTTTATGAATACGTATAACTTATTATTAGTTAATAGAGCTTATTAGATTCTCAATAAACTCTCAGTGCACACAGCACTAAGGGCACACATAACCAGCCACAACGATCTACTCCTTACTGGTAATTAAGTGCACCCTGGGGCTGTGTTAACAAAATGTGTTCATTGTATGGGGCTTTTTAAATCAAGGAAAAATAAAGCTGCAAATTCATCACACAAAACAACAGACATGTGTTTCTTATTTCATTTCTCGTCTGATGTTAAACCTTTAAATAAAACATATAGATGAAACAGTTGTTTCACACAATCCTGGCAAATATCAGAATTGAAATTGATGACTCAAGAGCAGACCAAGAATTCTCAGAAATGACCAGGGAAACTATCATTTAAAAAATCAACTTGGGGGCTTCCCTGGTGGTGCAGTGGTTGAGAGTCCGCCTGCCGATGCAGGGGACACGGG